CCATAACTCGGGAATGAGAAAAGCTAGAAAGTTGAAACTTTGGACGAATGTTCCTTACTCATGTGCGGCCAAAAGTTTTCAAACGCAGCTCCTTAGGACAGTCCGGGGCTCACGTACGGGCACGTGGAAATTTTGGCGCTAAAACCACCAACTCAGGAACGGGAGAAGCTAGAAAGCTGAAACTTTGGGGGAATGTTCCCTACTCATGTACGAGCAAAATCAGGTGTTTGGGGAAAGCTAGAAAGCTGAAACTTTAAGGGAATGTTCCCTACCTATGTACGAGCAAAATCAGGTGTTTATGGAGCACCGGGGGCCCACATACGAACGCGTGGAAATTTTGGTGCGAGAATCACTAACCTGGGAACGGGAGAAGCTATAAAGCTAAAACTTTAAGGGAATGTTCTCTACCCATATACGAGCAAATTCAAGTGTTTAGAAGCACCTGAGCCCACTTACGAGCACGTGAAAATTTTGGCGCGAAAATTACTAATCCGGGAGCGGGAAGAACTAAAAAGCTGAAACTTTAAGGGAATGTTCCCCACTTATGTACGAGCAAAATCAGGTGTTTAGAAGCACCCGGGGCCCACGTACAGGCACATGGAAGTTTTGGCGCGAAAATCACTAACTCGGAAACGAAAAAAGCTAGAAGGCTGAAACTTTAGGATAATGTTTCCTACTCATGTATGACCAAAAGATTTTAAATTCAGCTCCTTAAAACCGTCCGGCAATCATGTACGTACATGTGAAAATTTTGGTGGGAAAACTGCCAATTCGGGAACGAGACAAGCTGAAGGCTTTAATTTTAAGGGAATTTCCCCTACTTATGTGCGACTAAAAGATTTCAAATTTAACTCTTCTAGTGTGGGACCAGCACCTTTCTATTTGCCCGGTCACTGAAGCCGACATCGACAACTGACATACCACATAGTTGCACAATTAACTTCCCGAACTTCGAGGGCCAATATGTCACAGGTTTAGCTACTGTGATTCCTTGCGATCTTGCTACGGCACGAGACGTGCAAAAACGCATAATCGCACCGGCCGGCCTGGTGCGTTTCAGCCTTGGTCATTACACGTTTTTGCCTATACGCAAATTGCAAAAACGCATACTGCGACGGCCCTGTGTGTGTGTGTGTGTGCGTGTGTGTGTGTGTGTGCGTGTGTGTGTGTGTACGTGTGTGTGTGTGCGTGTGTGTGCGTGTGTGTGTGTGCGTGTGTGTGTGTGCGTGTGTGTGTGTGCATGTGTGTGTGTTCATCTGTCCAAGCATTTCAACTCAGCAACCAAGCAAGTTCCGCCGCCGAGATTTGCTAATGGGTACCCCGACCAAGTGCCACCCCAGAATCGCGGTACCATCCCTCACGCATGTCTAGGCCCCGCGTACGAGAGGATGGAAGTTTTGGCGGGGAAATGATAACTCGGGACCGGGAAACGGTAGAAGGCTGAAACTTTGGGAATTTGTGCCCCTACAATGCATGACCCTCCCGTTTTAATATCATCCCCCGCGGGCGCCTGGGTGCCGTGTACGGACCCTTTAAAAAAATATGCAAATTTTTTAGCGGGAAAACGATCTCGGGAACCACACTAGCTAAGAGGTTGAAACTTTGTAGGAATATTCCCTGCGCATGTACTGGCTAAAGATTTCAAATTTAGCCCGCAATTGTGCGTGGTACTCAAGTAAGGGCGTATGAAAGTTTTAGGGGGAAAATTGCTAACTCGAGTTCTAGAAAAGCTGGAAGGCTGAAATTTTAGGGTGATGTTCCCTGTCCAAACGCAACTTAAATATTTCAAGTTCAGCCCTCAGGTAGACGTGGTACTTCCGTAAGGGCGTTTGAAATTTTTCCGGGAAAATTACTAACTGGGCAACCAGAAAAGCTGGAAGGCCGAAATTTTAGGAGAATGTTCCCTGTCCATGCGCAAATTAAGTGTTTCAAATTCAGTTTTGAGGTGTGCATGGTTCTTGCGTACGGGCACTTAAAATTTTGGCTGAATTTCTGACTAAACAACTAGGTTACTTTTAAAAAAAGATCGTTAAATGGAAATTGTGCGTTTGCTTTATGCATAATTTATGGTGATTTATGCTAATGACCGCAAAAGGTAGGTGTAAAGCAACAACATCCATGCAATTAATGACCTGAGTGCTTCAATCCTGGTGCAAAAACGCATGATCGCACGGGTCTACCCGGTGCGTTCCAGCCTCGGTTTTGAGACGATTTACTGAGGATGCTAATTTTAGGAACTACATCAGCTCGGCGTGACTCATCTTTCTTTTTTGGGCCGAATTTCAACCCGGCCGCTCTTCATGACCACGTAAGCGACAGCATAGTTTTATCTATCTTAATTGAACGTTTGTTTGCGTTAAATGAATATTTTCATTTACTTTATTTATATTGGATGATTATAATGTGGGATGATCTTGTTTGCCGTTAGGGAAATAGATTAAAGTGTAGAGAAATATGGAGAAGTTTATTACTGCTTCCTGTTATAATAGCACAGTACAGTCTTTCAGCGTCAACGCTGGCGAAGGCTGGTGCGGCGCTTAATAAATTTTCATCTATAAATAAAATCAAGATTACAAAATGCTTGCATTTTTCTTTCAAATAATACATCACGGAAATTTCGCGAAAAATTACTGTGAGCGCTTTTTCTACAAAACATTTCCGATTTTCTGCTAGCATCTGTCCGAAAGTCATTCTTGCTGCGGTGCATTTAGGTACTGTAAAAACCTGTTCACGTATTTGCGATCTTCTAAGGTATATTATAGGATGAGTGTGTATCTCCGTTAACGCAGTACAGTCCCCGAACACCGAACACACCTCTGGATGGTTGTGCTGAGAAGTCAACAAGCCGCAGATTGCTCGACCATCGCAGACAGCTTGTTGTTGAACTGCTGGAAGAATATGGAATGTTCCCAACAGGTGAAATTTCTTATACAACTTGATTAATCACTTTTATATTACGCCGTTTGCTGTTGTGGTGGTTAATGTGAGAAATCACTTTCCAGGACAAGCAACATCGGCTTTTCAAAACAAGTATCGGCAATTCTTTCCCAATAAACAAACACTGACACTGAAAATTCGTGAAGTTCGCCAGAAGATGATGGCAAGCATGCAATCCCCGCTGACACCTTCTTCCGGTATTATTTGATTTTGCTTCTGGGTTCAGCATCATGTAGCTCCTAGCCTGACAATATTAGCTTGCGGTAAAAGGTCTCGCTCATTAGCGACCTCGAAAACCTGCATTTTGATTTGGCATGACGGAGAACTGTGTGGACAGTTTCTTTACAGATTGCATATCTCAGAAACCGGACAGCTGTGTTATAAATCAGTCCGCTTATGCTTCACTGGACGAGCCTTGCTGTAAGTGACCTGTTTGTTAATAAGTTTCTTTTTGCATCTAAAACAAAAGGCAGCAGGGGAACGTTGTTCAGATGTGAGCGACAGCAGTGATTTGAGCGAGCAGCATCTTTGTTCTTTGGATAACAGCCACAAATCAGCGTTTATACCAACTGGACCGACTGCTATGTCGTACAATTCGTCGTTAGTTTCAATGCAGTACATTCCTCCGAACATCAATGTTAACAGTGTATGATTTTTGTGGAACTTAAGAAATCAGGTGACTGGAAGTGCAGTGATCCAACAACAGCATGCAGGTTTGCTTATTCCGCTAAGTACAACAAGAAGCCTAATCATCTTTGTGTCTTTGGCCAGCACTGTGTCATAATTTCTAGAAACATATTGCCGCTATTAGCTAAATGTTCTTTTTCTCTGTTAAACCAGTGTATTATATATTGCACAAGAAGGCACTGGGTTAAAGGAAGCGATTCTTTGATATGCCGTTGAGCCTAGGAAGGAAGAGTATTTTCCGTTAGTTTGAAATTAAACAGTAGTATTTGATTGATTTCTAGCGACAAAGTAAAGCCTTGGAATGCTTGAACTTTAGGGTGACGGCAGCAGTACCCTGAAACAAACTTCCACCTCTAAGGGTTTTTTTTATACACTAATCGAAAGTTTCCAGAACGTAAGGTACGGATTCCTGAAGTCGCTTTGACCCGTCTCCTGCAGTTGTCCTTGAAACACTTCGGTTGCTGAAAATAGTTTTTCACTAAAAAATTGCCATAACATATTCTTGATGAAGCAGAATATCCAGCCTTCAACAGAATTTCATTTTCTTAAAAAATCTTTTATGGAAACTTTTATTTTGCTTCATTTGTGAAATGTGCATTTGGTATATTTTTGTTCCCTTTGTTGTGACGCCTGTAATCTAATTTGCGCCAGCTTTTAGGGTTTAGGTATATATGGCCAAACACTGCCAAGTTTTTTTAAGCAAGACGGATGGCAGAAATACTTTAAACAGTTTCCTGGGGCATCTTTTGTAATTTAATGGCTACCATAAAAATGTAGTGTTGCTTTGTATACAAAAGGAATTGATTGTGTTTCGCTTGATCTCTGGATGCGCGGTGCACACTGAAAAATGTTTCTTGGGCCGACTTTCTTTAGATACAAATACGATCACCGCCATTTGTTGCTGATTGCATCATTGTTCCTGCCGACAGAAAATATTGCAGGTGACAGATCGGCGCAGGCAGCCCAGGACAGTCGGAGAGAAGTAGATGAAATGTACAGTGACGATTTTGGCTGCTACTAATGGCAGTGAATTTCGCGCTGTAGAAATTCTTTTGCATACAGAGGAAACAGCATGAAACAAGATTTCTTTTGTACAAAATTTTTTTGTTATGTACAAAACAGGTTAGGCATGTCTAGCTCCCTGCCACTGGACTAGAAGGGACTTTATAAAAAGGGTGAAACGTGAAAAAGGATAAAAAGCGGGATGTTGAAGACCAATCGTAGACCAATCGGAAAGAGAAGCTCAAAAACTAACTAGGAGAAGAAAAGTTTCTGCATAACGAAAGCAAAAATCTAAGTACAAGGAGGAGCTGCTGCTCACATCGCGCCGCTCAAAAATGGAGTTGAATGGCAGATCATCA